GGCTGACACAACGCCGACGTGTCGGACCCCATGCGCCACCGTGTCGCCGTCGACCGGGGTCGTCCGTGACGTGGCAAGACCTCGGTGTCGTGTCAGTCGACGCCGACCCTCATACTTTGACGTCATGTTCTAAGACGCCTAAAAAATATCTATTTTCAACAAACGTTTTGGCATAGGTCTTTTTGTAAAAAGTGTTTTCAAAAAGGACCAAAATACAAAAATTTCACCTCTGGTCACTGGTCCAAAGACCTCTGGTGCCCACTGCCCAGTGCTCTCCACTCTCCTTGTCCCTCCCCTCCTCTCTCTTCATTCTTCAGTCTTCACCCTCCCTTTGTCGCTGGCCACTCGTCGCACCCTCCCCGGCAGGCGAGCAGCGAGGAAGAATGGAGTACGAGAGGATTCATCAGAAAGCCCAGGTATGCGCTCTACGCGAAGCCGCAAACCAGTGCAGTAGCTGGTTTGATCCGGCTAGTACTTTCACTTGCTGGCCACTCAATTTGCTTCGATGCCATTTCTTTCCGCCTGTTCTCCCCTCCTCGAGAATATGTTCCTGCGTGTTGGTATGGTCATTCGTTTCATTTTCAGGCCATTTTCCTGAAATTTATAGAATGCTGTAAGTGGGTAGACTTTTGAATGCCAATAGTTGAGTAGAATATTTCTGGTTTAGAGAGCTTCCGGTCAATCTGCCTTCTCAATGGAGGCCAAACCCCCCAAATCCAACTCTGAATACACCCATATCCATGAGCAAAAGCATATTTCGGATGCAGTGGATGCCTGGCTAGAATGCTTATTCTGCAGAATTTAGCGTTGGTACAGTGCATCCTAGTATTTTGCATGACATGAAATTTACGATGATTTAATTAATTTTGCAGCATTTTTAATTATTTTTTGACATCTTGTTCCAGGCTAACATATAGCAATTCCCTTCCACAGTTCCACTCAATTTCAGTATTGCCTCACATCTCGCAGTTCTTTTTTCACCTCGAAATACCTCCTAGTTCTTCAGAGTACTAGAATGCCCTTTGGCCTACACCCACATTGACGTATTTGCCCTTTTTTTTTGTCTCTGCAAAAGTAACTACTTTGATTGTGAAATCATAAGCTGGGGCTTTCATGGAAAAAAGACTTACAGCTTTGAGGTTGCTGCAGCCTGGTGCTCTTTCCCCAACAAAGCTAAGGATGAAGATTATGGGAGCCCACAATCGAGTTAGAGTAATCACCAGCAACTCATCATCGCGGACGTCACCTGCAAAAAACATCGAGGCTTCACAAGCACAGAACAGGCTATTAGTGTGTGATGTTCTTGAAGAAGGTACAGACGAATTGGCCATTGATTGGATTAGTTACCTTTTTTCCTGACTAAGTCAATAACTCATCCTTCTTGTTTCATAACCAGTTTCAGAAAGTGCAGATGGCATCAAACACCCTTCGGCAGATAACAAAACTGAAGCCGTAGAAAAGGATTCAGCAGTGGACAGCAATAAAGTTCAGAACACTTCCAAGAGTTCGGTTCCTCAACCAGCAACAGGCAGCTCGAGCATGATACACCCAGTGAGACCGGTGGAAGAAGACAGTACAGAATGCGACAGTGGTCTTGACAATGCTAGCACTAGTAGCTTTGAGTTCCATGGAGTTGAGAAGACGGCGACACATAATCCAGCGATGGGGTATTTATCTAGACAGACCTCCATTTCCTCCAAGTGGAATGATGCAGAGAAATGGATCGTGAACCGGCAGAATGTTAACCAGAACATCACCAAGGGCACAGCGCAGAACCAGACAGTAAACCAGTTGAACTCTGTTGCAGCCAGGGGCGCCATTGTGCCCAAAATTTCTGGTCGCCCTGTGCAGAAAATGAAGAGAGTGAACCCAGCTTTGTCTGCTCCGCGCAGCATATTAGAAAGGTTATCGTTTGCTTCGTATCAGCCTAAGTTGGTTAGGCATGCAGATGTCTGTCCAGTTAGTAATGCTAGTGCTAACTCGGAGTGTCACAAGGCAACTGATACAGGTTCATCAATTGAAGTGAAACCCTGCAACGATACAAATGGTAACTTTTTCTTGGCCTATATTGGACATAAATGCACGTAACTGTATCATGAAGCAAGTATAGCATATTTAAAGTTAAAACCTTATCTGTTTTTGAAACTGACACTGATTTGAATGTGTGATTTGTTACGTTCAGCTATCCCAACAGTTCATTCGGTGTCTGTGAGAGATGTGGGCACAGAAATGACTCCAATTCCTAGCCAGGAACCTTCAAGAACTGGAACTCCACTTGGGTCAAGGACACCAACTCGAAGCCCTAATTGTTCGATACCGTCAACACCTGTAGGAGGGAGGTCAATAGCATCTCCTGGAGAAGAATGCACAGATGATGGTCCATATTTCAACAGAAAAGGTGGCACACATGCAAATGAATTGTCAGATACTGAAACGAGGCTTAAAACAAGGCAAGAAATTGCTGCTCTTGGTATACAGCTAGGAAAGATGAACATTGCTACATGGGCCAGCAAAGAAGAGCTTGAACTAGTCTCTGCAGCACCAAGCATTGCTGATTTGGAGCGCATGAAGAAGGAATATGCTGCTCGTGCTGCATCATATGAGGAGGCAGAAAATACCAAACATACAGCAAGGTATTATTTCTCTGAAATATTTGATCATTGTTGAAGGTTTCATCTGCTTTGACTTACAAAGAGAACAAAAAAGGTCTTAAATATTAGTCTTGTTCATTTCATCATGTAATGTAGATTGTATTCCACAGATTCAAAAAAGAAGAGGTGAAGATTGAAGCTTGGGAGAGTCATCAAAGAGCAAAAATTGAATCTGAAATGAGAAGAATAGAGGTACAGTTCAAGTTTATTGTTTGTCCCCAGTGTACTTGGTTCTCTTTTTCGAAAATGGACTGTACCTGACTTTCTCTGCCCAAAATCCTTATTCAAAATTTTAATGCAATAACCTTTCATATGATGTTTTGAATGCAATAATCTTTCATATGATGTTTTGAACGCAACAATATTGAATACTATGATATTTTGAATTTAATGATTTGGATGTGTTAGTAACATTGACAATCATTTTGCAACAGGAACATGCTGAGAGAATGAGAAGTGAGGCCATGGCAAAGATGGCCGAAAAGCTAGAGATGACATGGCGCATTGCTGAAGAGAAACGGGCTTCAGCTAATGCCAAAATAAACCAGCAAGCAGCAATAGCAGTTCAGAAGGCTGAAAAGATTAGGCAAACAGGACGAGTTCCAGGATCAAGTATCCTTTGCTGCAGTGGCTGCTTCTGTGGACCTTAGTAGATCATAGTATTCGACAACTAGTGTGTGTATGTTGGTTTGGGATATAGTGGTGGGAAATCTAAACTCCACCCTCCAGAAGTCAGCATTCCTTGATTTTAGCATGAAAGAAGGAATGTGAGGTATTCAGATGCAAACACATTCTTGTTTGTCATGTATGTAAATTATTCCAATGTTTTTAACTTGGTCAGTTTAGATGGTTCCCAGCTGATCCACAATGAAGGAGAAGTCCCGAACCTGAATGGATAGGAGAGTGGAGAGATGCTGAGCGGTTCAGTGCCGTAGAACCAGAATCCTGAGGCTGTGCCAGTGCCAGACTGCCGCGGGCCCGCGACCTCACGGCCCAGCGGCGGCGCAGCGCCGAGGCCTGGACGCCCGCGCCGGAGAGGTTGGCCTGTTGAAATAGTGCATCGATTACATCTATGGCCTATATAGGCGGATTAGAGAGAAAACACGGGTAGATCGACCGCCTCGGCCCCGCTGAGCTGCTCTGATCAGCCGGCGGCCAGGTACACACAGCCTCTCGTGTAGTATAAATCAGCGAATCCGACTCCTCTTCCCTCTCCTCAGATATCGATTGCGTATCAACTTCGAAATTCGATTTGGTTTTTCCTCTATTGAATTCCTAATAATAGTGGGGGTTTGCATTAGCAGATCTATCCACGAGCACTCCGACCGCTTGGGATGTCTAAGCGTCGGGTGCATGACGGCGAACAAGAGGTGATGGGTTGCCCGAACCAGTCTGTCCGAGGGGCATCCTGCATCCCTCCGTGCATTTGTGTCGTGTTTGATTGCCCTGTTCGTATTTTGTGCTTGCATTTTTTCATGCGTTTGTCCTCCTTCGTTCCGCGCGCCTCCGTCTTCTGGATTTCTCTTCCCTCGTGGTGCAGGATGACTTGATTCACCTAGGATGTAGGGGCCCATGCGCCAAACACCCAAAAAGCTGATATATGCATGCAACCAAACACAATCTTATCTCGTACTGGACCAACATCAAAGACAACCAAACACGACAACTTGCACCATCTCAACCCAGCTTCTTTGATCTGCATAGCCTGGCCACCCTGGCTCGAGGCTTGGTCTACAAGCAATCACGCCCCAGGGGATGGCGGTGACAAGAAGAGGTCGCGGTCGCGGCCCGTGCGGCGGAAGCACCTCTATCTGTTGTTGGACGACTGGAGCAGAGGGTTCACGATCCACATGATCGACGCAGACAGCTTCCACTCCGATTCCGGCGACCGGCACGACGCCTCCCTCCTGGGTCTCCGGCCCTGCGTATATAGTCACCAGCCGGCACCGTGCCCCACGAGGGCACGTTCTTCGCCGCGCTCAGATCATAGAAATTAGCCAAAACTGCCAAATTTATTAATTTAGTTACTTTCTAAAATAGATTTGACAAAAAATATTAGAGTACTTTAAAAGACTCTATAAAAGATGGCCAGTGAGGTGGGTTATTCAAAGTAAAGAGCAAATAAGGTGGAATCGAGAGCTATTAAATTTAGAAGTTATTTACAGAGTACGTTGGAGATGATTTTCCTTCAATAATAGCTATATTTACTTTTAGAAAACGATTTGGCTAATATCTCGAGACGCTCAGACGCTACTATGCGACTCCGGCATCGCCGTGCCCGTCGGCGGGACGCTCTACGCCCTGTCGCACCGCTTCTCCGACGAGCAGAAGCAGCACTCCCTGGAGGCGATGTCGTGGGATCCCAATCCCAAAGGACTAGACGAGCTGCTGCAGCGTCCGAAGACCGAGGGCTGGTCCTGGAAATCGCTTCCGGCACCACCACCGACGTTCAGCCACAACCAGTTCGTCACCTCCCACGCCGTGCACCCAGACGGCCGCACCATCTTCATGACCACCGCGTACAGGGAGAGCCCGGGCCTTCACGTGGGTACCTTCTCGTTCGACACCGAGAGCTGCGTGTGGAGGTGGCACGGGGAGTGGGCGTTGCCGTTCGTTGGCCAGGGCTATTTCGACGCCGACCTGGATCGGTGGGTTGGCCTTCGTCGGGACGGGCACGTCTGTTCCTGCCGAGTTGCCTCCCGCAGCCGTAGCCTGACTCGAATAATGCAGCTGGATTGGCAGGTGGCGGAGGAGAAGCTGTTCCGCAGGGACCCGGCGGAGGATCACCTGAGTGCTTCCCTCACCTTATATGGGCAGCAGCAGGTTCTGTCTTATTGAGAGCGTGATAGGAGATGGAGTGGATATGGAGTGCTCCTTGGCTGACCAGGACGGTTACTGGCTCCATGTCACCATGTTTGGCCTCAGGCACAATCAGAAGAGAGAGCTGCAAACCACGCATCACCAGTCCAGACGCTCCTACTTAGGATCTCTTCACGGCTTATGCCGGCTTCGGCTTCATCTATTTTACGCAAATCGAGGCACTGTAGCGTGAAGCCGTTTTGTAAGCCGGGGTTAAAATGAACTAGAAGCTGAAAAAAACCAGTTTTTCTGGCTTCACCGGTGAAGCCGTTTTAGATAAGCCGTGCCAAAGGGGGTTTTAGTATCTAGGCATGATTATTCTTTTGCTCCTGAAGCATTCTGGATGTAGAAGCGGATTTGGTTTGTTGCAGCTTGCATCCTCTACATTTCGTCATTGTTTGGGTTGCGTGCATGCTGTGGGTTATCAGTGTATCCTAGACTATAAGTTATTGGTCCTACAAGAGAGGTTAATTAAAAAAAATACATTTATGTGGATTTTGTGTTGCACGATCCATTCCTGTCACTTTCATACATACACATGTTGTGTAAGAAAAATGCCTATATGTTACCGTGTTTTAGCAACTAAGATAAGATATACTGCTGGCAAAATCGTGTAGCAATTGAAGTTCAAATGTAATCTAAAGATTGGCACTGAAATTAGTTCTGGCTCTTCCACCGAGGCTTGAGGGCTTCACCCATTTTATAACCCCAGAATCCCTGCGTAAATTATTACTTTATCAGTTTCTGTGCTCATGAAAACTAACAACAAACAGATTGTCACCAGCGTCTGCAAGTATACAAAGGAACTGCTGAGTTATGTAAAAGTTGGTTTCATCCCTTGGTCATTATGGGATAGTGTCATAGCCCACACTGAGAACAGTGAATTTCATCTCAGGAACGAGACTTACAGTGGCAAGGCGGTAACCGCACAGCATAAAGAACTCCCTAAGAGCATGGTGAATATCCTACTCATCATCCTTGAATTGGTAGCCAGCCTAAGCATTGCCATGTACTTTGCAATATCCGAATGTGGGTCCGTTCAGTTGGAACATGACTTAAGAAGGTGGGGATAAGATTACTCGAATGATATAACACGGATAAATAAAAGGAATGAAGTTGGGATCAGAAACATAAAAGAACTACTCCATAATTAGGGTCAAAGACAGTAAAGAAATAGATGTTGCACAGAGCGTTTCATTCAGATGCTCTATTTGACATGGATCCTAGTTGATGTTTTTTCATGAACATACTATTTAATTAATAAGCAATTAACATCTTTACCTTTACAAGATCCTTCTCTAACTAGCTAGCTATCTAGTACTCCCTCCGTCCCAAATTATAAGTCATTTTAACTTTCTTGGAGAGTCAGAATATTTTAAGTTTAACCAAAATTATAGAGAAAATTACAAAGATTTATGACATCAAATAGATATACTATGAACATATAATTAACGAAGAATCTAATGATACTTTTTTCTAGAATGTCATCCGCTGTTTGAACCTTGTTCCAGGTGAACACTATTTCAAAAAAAATAGTCATGTTAGATGTCAGGCACAAACAGTAATGATAAAAGCAAAGATAATATTGCACTAATGTCAAACAACACCAAACATATTTGAAAATCAAAGGCATGTACAAGACAATACAAGAAATGTGAATGACAAGTCTAAAGCATACATAAAGAGCTAGTGGCGGTGGGCAGATTTGTTACTATATCATGCATCTTAATTCATTAGCTTCAGTTCTGCCCATTTCAAAACATAAGGCATTGCATATACAAGATGGTCTAATTTGATGAAAATATTCTCATTCACCTGGAATGGATCAAGATGTCCAAGAGGGGGTGGGTGAATTGAGCTAATTCTAAATTTCTTTACAATAATTAAACTCTACGGTTAGCCCAATTAACCCCTTGTGCCTAGAAAGTGTTTCTATTGATCTAACGCACAAAAGTTTAGCAACCTAAGTTCCAATCCTACTCTAGTATGGCAATTCTAGAAATGTAAATGACAAGAATTGAATTGCTTAAAGTAAAGAGAGAAGGAGGAACGCGGCGATGTTTTGCCGAGGTATCGGAGAGTCGCCACTCCCCGCTAGTCCTCGTTGGAGCACCCGCGCAAGGGTGTAGCTCCCCCTTGATCCGTGCAAGGATCAAGTGCTCTCTACGGGTTGATTCTTCGACACTCCGTCGTGGTGAATCACCCACAACCGCTCACAACTTGAGTTGGGTTGTAACAGAATCGACCAATTATACGAAATTAAGTAAGAAAATCATCCGCCAGAGCAGACGATTTAGCAAACTTAAGCCCGTATAACCCGGTAGTCCGTGAAATCACGAAGGATTTTAAACCAACTCACATCCCAGCCAAGATCGTAATAAGTTTAGCGGTCACCATCACATATTACATAAAAGTTTGCATCTCAGATACATCAGAGTTTAAACATAGTTATTACAAAACGAGTTCGAATAAAAGTAGCGGAAGCCATTTGTTCAAAACCACACACACTCACATGGAGTTCAAATACAGTGCCAGCTAATGATCATCTCCAACAAAAGCATCAAACGAGACGTAAGGAATGACCATGCCCATGGTCCTAAGCATCACCCATCGCAGAATAAAGACAGTTGATATAGTAGCTGTAATACATCTGCCCATCTGCAACAAGTGGGAATAAAACCCTGAGTACGAGAAGGTACTCAGCTAGACTTACCCGACATAACCAAAAATAAGTGACACCAAAGAATATGAAGGGCTTTATAGTAGGGTAGCTGACTCATTTGCAAAAAGAAGCATTTTTAGCATTTCAAGAACCTTTCCAAAAGCATTATTGTCAAGTTAATTATTATTAACCTATCGACTACATTTGCACCTATACTAGAGTAAATATGAGATTAAGCAAATAATGATAACTCATGATCATTAATCAACTTCCATAATGTCATATTCATTATAACTGTCTAAGTATTCCATAATCATTACTACGATGAAGTAACTCAAGTCAAGTGCTCACTATCCAGGAGCGATGGCGATTCGAATCGATTTCTAACCAGCTGGTGATTTATTCTTTACACAAACCTCACTCACCCGCTAAAGTGAGGTATCGATCACCGAGTCAACTATCCAGGAAGCTCGAGTTTGCCAGGAACCACATGTACTCGGGGGTCGACCGACTGCACTTTGGTCTTATCATCTCGCCCCCGTGTCCTACCACACCTGCTCCGGCACAGTGCGCTGCGGGCAATCTACTCGGCCCGAATAATCTCCTAGCTTCGCGGTCGAAAGGTACTTTATTCGGCCAGCTAAATGTAAGGCATGCGTTCAACATGACTCGAGGCCCAACAACGGTCGGTCCTTAATCGACACAGACGGAAAGCACTACAGTCCAAAACTCTGTAAGTCTCCGTTCGGTCTCAACTTCATTTAACACTTATTTATACCATGACTACATAATCATCCAAGCAGATCTAGGTAACCACCTATAGCTCGCAGGTGACAGGAAATCACCCGACTTCTACCGGTCTAAGCCAGCTAAGCATTGACTTGACTGCGGATACCAAGGTAACAAGGATATGGTATAACAAAGGTGGATAAGGTATAATGCAGCAACGGTTGCAAACAACTCCTGAACGTAATGCATCAATTAAAGTAAAGCAGTTAATTAATAATTGCAAACAACACCTGTATGATGCAATGTGCATAAGTGCTTATGCAACCGGTGCATTGGATGAGATGAATACAATGGATATGCTTGAATGCAAGGTAGTCAACATCATCTAAAAACATATACTACAAGCACATGTCATCTACTGCATTCTCTTCTACTACTAATATGCTAAGTCAACACCTCTCATTAAATGCTTCAAAGATACACCAAAGCTTCACTAATTTCTTAATCACACATAAAACAACACTTGATTAAACCCTAATTAATAATATGTTTGAACAGCAACATCTATTTTTATTGCTTAGAAAATTATCATATCACAGTACTACCCTAAGTAGTCTACCATCAGATTTTCATGGTATTTGAATGAGTGGATTAGCCTACACAAAAATAACAAGCTATGGCATTATTATGAACCTGAAAATACTTTGTACTGTGAAGAATGTCAAACAACAGAGAAAATATTTTTTCTATGTTCTACACAGCAAATAATCACTGTACAAAAATTATCACATGCATGTTTTATACAAATTTTGCTCTCTAGCAAAAATAACAAAAACCAGCCATTAAAGGCACTTGAACTACACCTCATAATTTTTCTACAGTACATGCATGACACATATTTTTCCTAGGAAGTACATTACATAAGAAGATTAACAAACTTGGAATCATATTTTTCTGAAGCCTATAGGTTTTTCTACACATTTTTCAAGTTATCAGCAATATCAAGGATTAAATAAAGCTCTACAGAAAAGTATCTCAAAAATGTCATGCAATAATTTTATCATGTAGATCTGGTGACAAGAAACCTAGCAAAATTTGTTTCAACAAATTTGGAGCCAAAATGAGTACACAAACATTTTCCAAAACATTTAAGTAGAAATCTGAAAATTCATTTTTGAAATCCTTTTTAAACTCCAGCTGACGAAATTGTTGGGTGCACTGTGTGCTGTGCACCCAGAGGGGCTGCCAGGCAGCCCCTGCTGAACTTACACGGTAACTGTGGGGGTATTAACCCCTATACCCTTATGGCTAAGCTTGGATCGGCCTGGATCGATGGGTCCGGTCCACCAAAAGACGACGTGCGGCCCGGTTAACCTGATCGGAGTCCCGCGCAAGGAGTCAAGGCGGATTTGACGATCAATCAAGATCCTGGTCGGTTAGAATAGGAATCCTTATCCGGCCACATATGGCAATTGTAACTGGTTAGGATTAGTTTCCAGATCTGTAACCCAGCCCCCCGAACTATATAAGGCGGGCAGGGGACCACTCTAAAAAACATCTCTCATTGATATACAACAATACAAATCAGACGCAGGACGTAGGTATTACGCCTTCTTGGCGGCCGAACCTGGATAAAACCTTGTGTCTGTCTTGCGTCACCGTCTTGTTTGTGGCTTGCGCATCTATCTGCCGATAATCTACTACCTTGGGTATACCCCTAGGTAGACTGCCGATCATATTTCGTCGATAGTGGCGCGCTAGGTAGGGGGTGTGCGTACTGCTTCCCAAGCAAACAAGACGGTCATCATCTCCGGCTCCATGGCTACGTCGAACGGCCTCACGTTCACCGTTGGCCAGATCACCTGGACCACCGGCTCCGACGACTTCATCGCCATGACCCCGGAGGAGGCGTGGATTCAGTCTGCGTCGACCACTACTTCACCTACATCGGCTACGGCTCCGACCACGGTGGATACGGTTCCGACCACGGTGGACACGGCTCCGACCACGGTGGATACGGCTCCGACCACGGTGGACACGGCTCCGACCACGATGGATCTGGCTCCAACCACGGTACATCTGGCTCCGACCACGCCTACATCACCTTTAGCCACGCCGACAACTTGTCATCCGCTTCCCCGCTACAAAGGGAGGCAGATCGACAACACCGACCTGCTCGACTCCATCGATCGGGTCGACACCAAGCTCGCTGAAACCCTGGCTCTGGTAAGTACGATTCAAAGTCAGCCTAATGAGCAGGTAACCGCTCCCCACAACAGATCTATCCGACCAGCTCGGACCAGTCGTCCTGCACGACTTGGTACAGATCTCGTGGTCACATCTACTCCTCAAGGGCGCTCTGCTCGTCGCCACCTCTCGACTGCATTCTCTTCTACTACTAATATGCTAAGTCAACACCTCTCATTAAATGCTTCAAAGATACACCAAAGCTTCACTAATTTCTTAATCACACATAAAGCAACACTTGATTAAACCCTAATTAATAATATGTTTGAATAGCAACATCTATTTTTATTGCTTAGAAAATTACCATATCACAGTACTACCCTAAGTAGTCTACCATCAGATTTTCATGGTATTTGAATGAGTGGATTAGCCTACACAAAAATAACAAGCTATGGCATTATTATGAACCTGAAAATACTTTGTACTGTGAAGAATGTCAAACAACAGAGAAAATATTTTTTCTATGTTCTACACAGCAAATAATCACTGTACAAAAATTATCACATGCATGTTTTATACAAATTTTGCTCTCTAGCAAAAATAACAAAAACCAGCCATTAAAGGCACTTGAACTACACCTCATAATTTTTCTACAGTACATGCATGACACATATTTTTCCTAGGAAGTACATTACATAAGAAGATTAACAAACTTGGAATCATATTTTTCTGAAGCCTATAGGTTTTTCTACACATTTTTCAAGTTATCAGCAATATCAAGGATTAAATAAAGCTCTACAGAAAAGTATCTCAAAAATGTCATGCAATAATTTTATCATATAGATCTGGTGACAAGGAACCTAGCAAAATTTGTTTCAACAAATTTGGAGCCAAAATGAGTACACAAACATTTTCCAAAACATTTAAGTAGAAATCTGAAAATTCATTTTTGAAATCCTTTTTAAACTCCAGCTGACGAAATTGTTGGGTGCACTGTGTGCTGTGCACCCAGAGGGGCTGCCAGGCAGCCCCTGCTGAACTTACACGGTAACTGTGGGGGTATTAACCCCTATACCCTTATGGCTAAGCTTGGATCGGCCTGGATCGATGGGTCCGGTCCACCAAAAGACGACGTGCGGCCCGGTTAACCTGATCGGAGTCCCGCGCAAGGAGTCAAGGCGGATTTGACGATCAATCAAGATCCTGGTCGGTTAGAATAGGAATCCTTATCCGGCCACATATGGCAATTGTAACTGGTTAGGATTAGTTTCCAGATCTGTAACCCAGCCCCCCGAACTATATAAGGCGGGCAGGGGACCACTCTAAAAAACATCTCTCATTGATATACAACAATACAAATCAGACGCAGGACGTAGGTATTACGCCTTCTTGGCGGCCGAACCTGGATAAAACCTTGTGTCTGTCTTGCGTCACCGTCTTGTTTGTGGCTTGCGCATCTATCTGCCGATAATCTACTACCTTGGGTATACCCCTAGGTAGACTGCCGATCATATTTCGTCGATAGTGGCGCGCTAGGTAGGGGGTGTGCGTACTGCTTCCCAAGCAAACAAGACGGTCATCATCTCCGGCTCCATGGCTACGTCGAACGGCCTCACGTTCACCGTTGGCCAGATCACCTGGACCACCGGCTCCGACGACTTCATCGCCATGACCCCGGAGGAGGCGTGGATTCAGTCTGCGTCGACCACTACTTCACCTACATCGGCTACGGCTCCGACCACGGTGGATACGGTTCCGACCACGGTGGACACGGCTCCGACCACGGTGGATACGGCTCCGACCACGGTGGACACGGCTCCGACCACGATGGATCTGGCTCCAACCACGGTACATCTGGCTCCGACCACGCCTACATCACCTTTAGCCACGCCGACAACTTGTCATCCGCTTCCCCGCTACAAAGGGAGGCAGATCGACAACACCGACCTGCTCGACTCCATCGATCGGGTCGACACCAAGCTCGCTGAAACCCTGGCTCTGGTAAGTACGATTCAAAGTCAGCCTAATGAGCAGGTAACCGCTCCCCACAACAGATCTATCCGACCAGCTCGGACCAGTCGTCCTGCACGACTTGGTACAGATCTCGTGGTCACATCTACTCCTCAAGGGCGCTCTGCTCGTCGCCACCTCTCGACTGCATTCTCTTCTACTACTAATATGCTAAGTCAACACCTCTCATTAAATGCTTCAAAGATACACCAAAGCTTCACTAATTTCTTAATCACACATAAAACAACACTTGATTAAACCCTAATTAATAATATGTTTGAACAGCAACATCTATTTTTATTGCTTAGAAAATTACCATATCACAGTACTACCCTAAGTAGTCTACCATCAGATTTTCATGGTATTTGAATGAGTGGATTAGCCTACACAAAAATAACAAGCTATGGCATTATTATGAACCTGAAAATACTTTGTACTGTGAAGAATGTCAAACAACAGAGAAAATATTTTTTCTATGTTCTACACAGCAAATAATCACTGTACAAAAATTATCACATGCATGTTTTATACAAATTTTGCTCTCTAGCAAAAATAACAAAAACCAGCCATTAAAGGCACTTGAACTACACCTCATAATTTTTCTACAGTACATGCATGACACATATTTTTCCTAGGAAGTACATTACATAAGAAGATTAACAAACTTGGAATCATATTTTTCTGAAGCCTATAGGTTTTTCTACACATTTTTCAAGTTATCAGCAATATCAAGGATTAAATAAAGCTCTACAGAAAAGTATCTCAAAAATGTCATGCAATAATTTTATCATATAGATCTGGTGACAAGGAACCTAGCAAAATTTGTTTCAACAAATTTGGAGCCAAAATGAGTACACAAACATTTTCCAAAGCATTTAAGTAGAAATCTGAAAATTCATTTTTGAAATCCTTTTTAAACTCCAGCTGACGAAATTATTGGGTGCACCCGGTGCTATGCACCTAGAGGGGCTGCCAGGCGGGACCCAGCGGGTCAACCGCCCATCGCGATCACCGGGGCCTTCGCCACCATCATGGTAATTTGAGCCTGTTGGTTAGCGACCGAGGGGGGAGGGGCTCACTGGCGGTGCTCACCGGCGGCGAGCCTTTCCGATGGCGCGGGTGGTGCCAGCGTGCACGCCACGCCGAGCCGCACCGGCTGGGATGGTGGAGGTGGCCCGACGGCGTGACGAACCACCTGGCCACGGCAGCGCGCTCGCCGGAGAGGAAGGAGGCGGCCGAGCTTGGTCCTTACCTCGACGAATGGCCGCAGAAGCGAAGCGTAAGCGAGCGCAGGAAGCTAAGGAGCTTCAGTGCGGGAATCGAGGAATGGGCGTGGGAGGGTATGCCGCCCGGCGAAGGCGCGGCGGCGTCGGTGTGAGCTCGTGGCTTGCTACTGAGTTGGCTTGGCGCTTCGTCGAGAGAGCGGGAGGAGGAATGAGGAGGAGGCGGCGTGGTGGGCAGGAAGAAAGAAGCTTGGCGTGGAGAAGGCGAGGCAGGCCGTGGCTGCCGTCTGGCGGTCGTCGCCGCAAGATGGTCGCCATACTGCGGTGGTCAAGCCTTCTCGATGCGGTCGGGGCCTTGACGCACGGAATGGAATGGCACGACGCAGATATAACGTAGGCTGTGACTGCTACTGGGCAAAGCGACACCTGCTACTGGCTGGGCCAAACGCAGCAGCATGAGTAGGGATAGAAGCTGACAGGGCGGGGCCGGCTTCGGCCGTGGGCCGAGAAGGGAGGCGACGACCCGCGAAAGGAGAAAACATTTTTCTCAATTTCTATTTTTAAGAAATTTTCAAATACCAGTTTTCAAATATCATTTTGAGCAAGAAAATGACATCTTTTGAAAATGTTCCAAAAATAAAAATTGCTTAGAATTTAATCCTCTACAACTTTGCTTTTATGACAAAAGTCCAATTCTTGCTAGATTTTGAATTATAAAATAAAAGTCAATTTTAACTCAAAACCCTAATTTTGGACAGTTATTTTTAAAGCAAAATTTGGCAATAACTTGAATACAAAATTTGCTCCAAAAATTGCGCTAAATAATTCTAGGTGATTTACAATCATAGCCAAACATGTTTTACTAACCTAGCAAGCATAATTTGGGCAAACACAACTCTAAACAAGTGTATGCAACATTCATGTTTCACGAGCATGTTTCAAATGTTTCGAAGCAGGGTTTCAGTTATTATTTACATAATTAGGCATATATGATTAGGATGCTTGATGATGCATAATATGCATGATTTGTAGTGCCTAAATGCTGGTCATAACACCGGGGTGTTACATGGGTCATCTACAAGCACCGCCGGATGATCACCAAGCTCTCAATCACCACCAAACCGTCTAGGTGATGACGATCACCAAGAGTAACAAGCACGAACTCTCACTTGACCACGACAAGCCTAATGAGAAGGGTGGATGCACACTTTGCTACTCTTGAACTCACTAATGAGGGTTCTCTTTGGGATTCTTAAATCTCAATCACCTCACTAGATCTTTCTTTTTTGGCACTCTCAAAGGTGTTTCTCAGCTGTTGGAATGAGCAAAAGTATCCCCACACACGAGTGGAGGTGTTATTTATAACACCGGCTGAAAAACAAACTGTTATGTGCCTCTGCGGGGTGACCGGACGCTTCGGTCATGTTGACCGGACGCTCCGGTCAGTTCACCCCGAACTCCAGTGTTTAAAGTGTGACCGGACGCAGGCCAGCGTCCGGTCAGCACTGACCGAACGCGTTCGGTCGTGATTTTCCCTCTCTGGAACCTTACTGAGTCGACCGGACGCTGGCCCTCAGCGTCCAGTCACTCACCTCTCAGCGTCCGGTCACTTCCAGACGACTTCACCTTGATCAAATGAACTGACCGGACTCTGCGCCAGCGTCCGGTCAGACCGAAGCAAGCGTCCGGTCAGTATTTGACCCTACATTCACTTTCAACTCTCAATCATGCGTGAATGAAGTTTGCTCCAATGGATCTAAGGGTTATTTTAGAGCTACCTAGTGCTAGATTCAGCAAGTATGCACCACACCTAACTCAGTAGACTCACCTAGGTCAAGGTATCCGTCCATACTTCCCTTAATAATACGACCAAAGGAAAAACAAAGTTCTAAACTACTATAAGTGTCTCTTCAACACCAAACGACACTTAGAACTAGTCCATCATTAACCTTGTCGTCCATCCTTTGAAAACCGAAACGATTTCCATCGTAGGGGCATGAACACCACCCAATCGATCTCCATTAACGTGACCTAACTTAATTGCCTCTGCAAAACGCACGTTAGTCACAGTAATTACGTATTGTCATTAATCACCGAAACTCAACTAGGTCCTAAATGCTTTCACACCTCTCCACTAACCTTCCATAAGTAAGATGCATCCAAATGCTCCCCTTCAAGCTTATGATCCTTGTTGATTGTGAAGCCGAACTTCAATAAACAGTCATGTTAACGAGGACATCCACACAAGAAACAAAGAATAAATCAGAGGAGCTAGAGATAAAGCCTTGTTTCACTGCTCCTACCTTGGCATTCCGGTCCATTTCACAGCAATCATTGAGATCCCCTTTAGATTGTTCCATTGAATCCGAAACTTCGCAATTTAGATACCCAACAGTGCTGAACACACCAATTAGCAGCGAACATTTAGATGTCACCCAATTTAATGCATCAAAACTCAAAACAAGAAAAAAATATTTATTATTAAGACCATACCCTTCAGGCTTCTCTGATTTGGCACCAGCAGAAGCGCCATTCACATCAACATTATCAGAAGCGCATTTCAGATCCACAACAGTGCTGAACCCACCAATAGCAAATGTCACAAATCATGCAGCAATAATTCCAAGAAAGAAAAACTTATTTATTATTAAGAACATACCCTTGAGGCTTCTCTGATTCGGAAACAGCTGAAGCAACATTCACATCACCATTATCAGAAGCGTAGTTCAGATAACGAACAGTGCTGAACACACCAATGGCAGAGGACAATTAAATGTCACTAATTTGATGCAGCAACAATTCCGAACAATAAAAACTTATTTATTAAGACCATACCCTCGAGGCTTCTCTGGTTTGGCAACAACTAAAGCCCATAATTAGAAGTTTCTTGCAAAAGCATATCCAAAGCTGCTACCGTCTCTCTTCGAATATCATGACAGCAATAATAATCCCGGTACATGAATCTGTCTTCTCGACTCAGCACGTAACACAATAACTTAGCCTCCTTCGCTAAACCCTTTAAAACATTTTGTAATTGGTGAGGAGCTTATCAGCATAAAAGAATAAACAAGAAAAATTAAGCAGGCAGAGTTGTCTTAGTAAGGACAGGAACATACCAGCATGGCACCTGCAGCGGCAGCAGATTCAGGCCCTTCATAGAGCATAAGTTCATAGGCAGACTGCCTGATCTTTTTGCTCAAGTTGACCATTCCAGTGGTGTCGAACTTACAGTCAAACAGGTCAGATAACAAGCCAGTCTCCTTCACGATACACTTCAAAATTGGAGGGGAAAAGTTAGCAAACATCAAATAATAATTGACAGGAAAGCCACAGTTTGGTCCAATTTGTAACAGGCATACCACTAAGGCTGCTGCTGCATGAGCATAAACACCCACTGATTGGATCACATAATTCGCACGCTCCTCGATCTTCTGGCTCAGAATGATATCTTCAGCGGTGAGAAGGTGAATAGGTGATGATGAATGAAGCGAAAGTTGTTCTCGATTTCTATACACTAGAGGGTGCATTGGTGGAAGGGTGCTAATTAGCAACTGGATCAAAAAATCAATTATAATAGGCAACAGAAAGTTTTGCAGAGGCAGGAGGACATTACCATATCAGCTACAACACCCTGGATAAAACCAGAAACCCTGTTCGCTTGATCATTTCTGTGGCTTATAAGTCGGCTGATACTGTTTTGTTGTAAGAGAAAAGCACTGTATCATGACTGATAAACATGACTGACAAGCGAACAGACGCTTCTTAGGCTTCTTATTTGCACAAAGAGCGGCAACTTCACTGGCATTAGGCTTGTTCGGCTGACCCCAAACCCGGTTTGATCCGCTTCTTTTTTCATTCGGAACAGTATTTTTCTCTCACAGATTCAGTCATAAACAGTAAAATTCAGCCGCTACAGTGCTTCTTTTATGTCAGCCGAACACAGCCATTCTGGATAAAATATTCTTTGAGGTATTCTTTGAGCGGCAACTTATCTTTCTCAGGCTTCTTATTCGCACAAAGAGCGGCAACTTCACCGGCATTCTGGATAAAATATTCTTTGAGGTATTCCTTAAAAGTGGTCCAATCAACATTACCATGACAGTAAGGCACCAGCCTTTGCCATCCCCATCCTTTCTCAAGAAGATCTGAACATGGGGGCAACGCATAAATACTAATCAGATCCAATAGTAATCATACACTGAAGCACCGTCCAAATTACAGGCCGAAAATACAAAACAGTGATGGTTTCAGCGTATCAATACAATAAAATAAAAAAAGGTAAAGTCCAATTTACATCCTCCAACTTTCGCCAAAGCCTAGATTTCAACCTCGAACTTTAAAATTGGATAACTTTGGTCCTCCAACTCTTGAAACCGTTCAACTTTCAACCTTCGGCGGTTTTGGTGATGAACAGTAACTTTTGATATTTTCGGGAGACGTCGAAATTTTATATTGTTTTTTAAGCATATTAACGTCCTCAAATGAAAAAATTCAAAACTACAAAGTTGTAGATCTCATTGAGAGCTACAACTTTGGTATAAAAAGTATTTTCATTTAACTCCATACAAATAATATATTAGTGCTCTAATGCGGCAAGCGCTAGTAGACGATTACTATGGTGCTGAAATTTTATATTATTTTTTTGAGCATCTTACTGTCCTCAAATGAAAAAAATTAAAAATATAAAGTTGTAGATCTCATTGAGGTCTACAATTTACATATAAAAATTATCTTCATCCGACATCGTATTGAAGGGTTTTCTATTTTTTGAAATTTAAGTCTCGTCACGCCATAGTATTGTTTTGTCGTGTGACGAGACTCAAATTTCAAAAAATAGAAAACCCTTCAATACGATGTCGGATGAAGATAATTTTTATATGTAAATTGTAGACCTCGATGAGATCTACAACTTTATAGTTTTAATTTTTTTCATTTGAGGACAGTAAGATGCTCGAAAAAATAATATAAAATTTCAGCACCATAATAATCACCTACTAGCGCTTGCCGCATTAGAGCACTAATATATTATTTGTATGGAGTTAAATAAATATACTTTTTATACCAAAGTTGTAGCTCTCAATGAGATATACAAGTTTGTAGTTTTGAGTTTTTTCATTTAAGGACGTTAAGATGCTTAAAAAATAATATAAAATTTCGACGTCTCCCGAAAATATCAAAAGTCACTGTTCATCACGAAGAGTTGGAAGACCAAAGTTATCCGGTTTTGAAGTTCGAGGTTAAAATCCAAACTTTGAGGAGAGTTAGGTGTAAATTGGACTTTACCTTTTAAAAAAAAAACTATCCGAACTAGCCCAAAAAGGGTAGCACTGGCCGTTATCCCTCTCCCCGAACAACCTCATCCTTGCCGTGGAGCTCGACAGAGATGGGGAGGACAATCTAAGATAAAATCGTTTGGGGGAAGACCCAAACACCCGGGTGAATTTAGCAGATCCACAAATAAAAAACCTAGATCCCCCGTGGGCGAATTCTTACCTCGGCAATAGACTATGAATGCTGGCGGGATTTGAGGAACATCGTCGGTGGCATCATCCAGTTCTGCCAGCCACACTGACAAATCGTACTTGATCGGGTCGTCCAAATAATGGTCGTCTTCGCTTGGGCTGTTGGGCACCGGCCGGTCACCGTCCTGAGGGGCTTGGCCTGGCCATGGTTGCAGCTCAGTGCTATAGAGGTTCATCTACGGATTCTTCATCGTGTGCATCTACTGCTTCTAGATTAATCTCAAGAAGACCAAGGCAAGGATTGAAGCAGGTATATTCAAGGTCTGCGGTCTGCATCCGGTGATGTTTCTTTAGGTTCTTCAGGAGACCGAGCGCGGCTATAGTGGCCAGCAAAGCGAGCCAGTACGAGGGCTCTGTGTGCAGCAAGATATACGCGTCGTACCAGGCGCTCGAGGGGCACAGGACAGACACCAGAAGCCGCCCATGCCGCGCCAGCCGCATCGGCTACCGGCGACGAGGCGTCGTCCGGCGGTAGCGCACACACGGAGTGACGGAGGAGCTGTGCTCGCTCTGCCTCCGCACGTTCGAAGGACAAGGAAGACGGTGTCCGCGCGCGGCGTAGTATTTTAGATCTTGGCGAGGGGCGGCGCAAAGGAGAAAATGCACGCGCGGAAAAGGTGCGGCGGTCGGTAGCTCTGCAGCGGCACGCGCGAGAACCGGCGACGCACCATGGAGACCGGAGCCGTGCGGCCCCTGCAGGTGGACCTCATGGCCGACCCAGAGTCGGACATGATGGACAATGCCGTATGCACCCTCCACTCCCTCTGGGCTCTGGTGAGGGACGCGCTGCCGCCGTCAGGATCGGTAGGCGACATCCTAATCCTCGTCCAGATGTTGGATTAGGACACCGTGAAGGTCGGCACATCACGGCAAAAGGAGAAGGAGCGTGCACGGGAAGAGCGAGGCTCATGCGGGAAACGCCGGGCCACCCCGGATGGCGAGCGAGGCCAGTTCGAGCGACTTTTGCGGGATAGCGTACGAGCTATTTTGAGGACCTGTTTGGCATTCCGGCTGCCGCCCCTGTCGGCCTCCCACGGGCCGATAGGTGCCGGAGCCGCGGAGCCAAAACCGAGCTCCGCCGGCTCCGCTGGGTTTGCGAGAGGAGTAAAGAGGAGGGAGAAAACGTCTCCGGCTCCCTGTCGGCCTGGCACACAGGTCCTTAGAGAGAGATGACGAAGCTGTTGGACTGCGTTTTTCTGATGTTTCAGACAAACTTAGCAATTGCGAGTGAGATACCTATTCTAGTAAAAGAGGAGAGTTGCATGGACCGGTCAACCAATAAACCCTAGCGAGCCACCAAATTGGGAAAATAAGAGCATCTCTAGTAATTCCTTAAATCATTTTCTAATCCTTTTCTAGTAAGATCAGAAAAAACCTCGCTCTAACAACTTATAATCCATCCTCCTAATTCTTTAGAACTTGGAAAAAGTCATCTTCGAGTCGCTTGTATCTTCTCTCTCCCGTGTGTGTTTGTTGGCCAATCTAAAGATGGAAGGGCGTTGAAAGAATAAATAGTAGGAAAGAGTTCCTGATGCGAATGTACAAGAGAGAAAGAATATATAAAAATAGTTAGGATAATTTAGAAATAGTATAGGATTCCTGATGTAAAATTGTCTTCTATATTTTAGGAGTAGACTAGCAATATATGGCCGTGCGTTGCAACGGGAACATATGGTAGCATGTCAAGGTTGATAATAAGTTAGCTATTTTTTTAGAATTTAAATGAGCTTGGTCCAACCTTAAATCAACTAAATCCAAGGCTTTAATAAAGGCTAAGTATGAGAAATTAAGAATAAATTAACTCAACTAAAATTGGTGATATTGTGTGTATATCTATTATGAGTTTAACATAAAGATTAAAGTAAGCAACAACCACATGTCCACAACACGTAGTGAGTGGGTTTGGACGTCTAGGACATGACATTGAGCGGTGTGACGTCGGTGAAACTTAAAACGAGAAGGGACAAACATTATTTTTTAGTTTCCATTAAAAACAAACGGTTGCATATCAAAAATTTTCTCATTGCTTCCGGCTTACCTTACCTGTTTCACATGAGAAAAAGTAACCAAAAGTGTTGATCCTCGGTAGGGGAACAATTACGAAATCAACATGTACGTACGTACGTTTGAGAAAAAAATAAAAGCAGAGAATTACTAAAGAAATCGGAAACCATGTAAGTTCGTTGGAGAAAAAATAAAAGCAAAAAATTGCTGCAAATCAGAAACCATGTACGTACGTGTACATTGAGAAAAAAAAACGGTAGAAAAAAAATCGTGTAAAGCCAAAATTACACTCGTTATTGCTTCCGGTTATCTGTTCCAAGGAAAAAAACTACTTACAAAATTAAACCAAAAGCGCCGATGTCCGGACACGAACCCGGACAACGGACGCACATAAATCATAACTGAACTCACGCGGACATCAAAGGGAAAAAAACATGGTACGTATATAAATTGTACTCGACTTCCACCGTCTACACACCAAGTTAGGTAGAGGGAGGTGTCCTTCTAGATGTTCCGGATCAATTGATCGGACACAAAATACAATCCAAGATCGGTCACAATTCAAGATGTTGACTTTTATTATTGTGGAAGTAAATTGGGTCCTCTAGGCCGTACGGTTCCATTGCCAAACTTTTTCTTCTCGTTGGGATCGATGGCTGGGCTGAAATTTATAGATATAGATTTGGAATTCTTCTTCTATTCGATTTAGAGCCGCGTGGATTCATAGTTTCCTTCTCATCTTTTATGTTCTTCTTGTTTTTGGTCATGTGGGGTGGACAGAGGCGAACAGGACTCCACGAGACAGACGGCGTGCTGTGTAGTTTCCTTCTCATCTTTTCCGTTCTTCTTGTTTTTGGTCGTGTGGGGTGGACAGAGGCGACCAGGTCTCCACGAGACAGACGGCGTGCTGTGTTCGAGTCCTAGTCCAGATACAATTTGTTTTTTTTTGTACATGGCTGTTCCACATCCACTACTATAAAAATGCGTACAATTAGTTAGGGAGGTCAGACCAAAATAATGGTATAAAAAACGGCGAAAATTTTGCCTCTTTATTATTAGAGAAAGAGATAGATTTTTAGAAACTCTTGGAGATTGTCTTTTTTATTCCTTCCAATATATATTTTTAGGAGTTATAAAACTTCATGTTTTTAGAAAGAAAATATTTGGTACTATTGGAGATGTTCTAACACACGTGAAATGTGATGTAAGGCGGATCGAGGTCCATCCATCCCAGGCCCAACCAGGAGGCCACAGATCATATGTGGACCAACTAGGAGGCCACAGATCATCTATGGACCGAAGGGTTCCAGATGACCAAATAAAATCGCTTTCGACTTGTGGAGCCGATTAACGACCTTTTCCGCACAACAAAAACTCAGTCGATTTTAGGATGTACAGCTGAATTTGCGGTACATTCCAAACGTTATATTGCTTGACTTCTTCATATTTTCTATTTCTGATATGTTTTAATTTTGTTCATTATTTTGGCATATGAAATGACAATAGTGACCTTGCCTCTATCTGTCTTTTTCTCCAAATTTCTTACCTCACAGCATCCAGGAGCAGAGCGCGGTGGAGGCTATCTATCGCTTGGGCAATAAAATCGCCTCATATGCGAAGAGGGCCAAGAAGCCAATCGACCCAATAATTTTGTCTGTCACACTAGCCACTAGTAGAGACGCGGTACGTGTTTAGAAAAAAACATAGTAAGCAATAATGTATATTTATAAAAAGTCTCATAAATAATAAACTTATATATCTACCATTACCCTTATATGAACAATAAATTTATATGAACAAGTTTGGAGACTTAAACGGTCGATTTGTGAGTTTAGGGACCGGGATAACACGGCCGAACAGGTTCGAGGACCGCTGGTGGACTTTACTAAAAAAATAATTATACGCTAGCTCAGAGCTATTGTTTATAGAGTCTTATTGTCTGAGAGCCAAAATTTGGTTGCGAAAGCCAAGTTTTTTTTGCTTCTATTTGGTTTGTTGTTAAAATTTGCCAATACCTCACACTTAGCTTGCCAAATTTGGGGCAAATATTTTTTGACTAACTTTTGGCAACTTTTGATTACCAAATCTTTGGTTTGACAAATTTTGTAGTCCAACCAAGCAAGCCCTAAGAAAGGTGAAGATGAGCTACGTGCTTGCGTGGCTCGAGCCCTATTGCGACGTGCATGGGCTCGGGTTTGGCTGGTTAGACCATGCCATGAGTGGTGCAACACTAGTGGAAGAAGAGTGGTGAAGTGAGGGAGGACTGAAAAGATACATATATACTAGTATAGATTTGAGCGGTTGCTATAGCCTGGTACCCATATGAAAGGTGAACCCCCACATTTATGCAGGAAAAAAGATAGCTGAAAAGTCATAGTTGTTGGGCCCCATGCTATTGACGCTTGGGGGAGACCATGCTCTCTCTTTGTTTGAGGGAAGATGGAGGTAATGTTAGTAGACACCAAAAAATAAAGAGGTATTGGAGGATTATTTAAGCAAGGAAAAAGTATATAGTCAGCCAGGACTATTCTATGGGAATACGGGAATAGAGGGAGGTATTGAATGAATAGTTGAGATGTTCTCAGGGATTTGGATTTGTGCCACTGCTGTCAGGTGGCTTCGCAATGTTTTAATCAAAAAGTTAGATTAGCATAATTGCCATTTTAAATATGGTCATACCGGTTATTATGCAAATTTACCTTTTATTCATTATTTTTCTTTTTTGTCTATTATCTACATGGAAAACAACCAAAATACCCAAGGTCACAAAGCCAATATTCACCACTCCAATTAGTCCACCGCATCGGCAGCCACCCCACCTTCCGGTATTAGCTCACATGTCCTATCCACCATCGTTGTTCGCCAACACTCATCTCCTTGCTCTCATCCTCTGCTGACTTGGTTTGTCACTAATTGTCAACTTATTTTCTGACTCTGAGCTAAGTACATAGATTGTTATAATTTATTATTTTCTATAGATATTTTATGTATATTGTACATAATACTTGTATACTATTTTTCTATTGATAGTTTTCTACTTTGTATACTATTTCTTGTATATTCTTTCACTAACAAATATAGGAGATGGATGGACCATTGTCCAATAAAACCCTATAATTTTGTGGATGGCCCACAAAAAATAATTTAGGAGGAGATGTCGCCATTTCATGGGAGATGTTGTTAGAATATTAAACACTATGCAAAGCCACCCAACCAAACAAGACTCGAGTAGAGGAGACTAGCTTTAAGGCTAGTTTTGGCAAGTCTGTAGCTCCTCATAAAGGACGACTCCTCTTGTGGAGTAGCTTCTCTGGTGGACGCGAAGCCCTTTTGGAAAACGTTTGATTAAAAATGACTCTAGCCTCCGGTGATAGTTTTATTATAATTTATGCCAAGTTTATGGGGAGCCGGAAGAAACTACATTTTCACGACTCCGTCGGAGTCGTCATATGGTAAGGCCGCTCCGAAAACCTTAGCCCGTAAGTCCCGTAACCAAACACAATAGACTCGCTTGTGTTAGCCTCTCTATCTCTAGCTAGGCTAATCTTAGCTAGTTTTTTTTTTTTTTGAGACGACAATCTTAGCTAGGTTAGGAATAAGCCATGCAACTAAACAACCTCATATTATAGCATTAGACTTAGTATGTCTGGAAGTTATCTTAACATTTCATAACCTTGTGGTGATCTAGCCATCTGCACTTTTTATGTTGGTTGCCATGCTTTAATGCATGTGCAAAACTTAGTCATAAACTCATCATGCTCAAATTTAAAATGTACGCAAGATTTGTTTAAGTTTTGTTGTCAAGATTCTTTTAACATCTATCAAAATTGTGCAAACGTTTGATAATAAAAAATGGGCAATACCACCCATCGGACGTCAGCCCTTTCGGGGTTCCTTAGAGCAAAATAATAAAAAATATAGTGGCAAATGCGCAAGCAGTACAAACTAATAATCATTCTATAGCTGAATCCACAACATTTCCAACCGAGAAACCTTCCCATTTCCATTACTTTCATAAACTAATAATCATTCTATAGCTGAATCCACTACATTTCCAACCGAGAAACCTTCCCATTTCCATTACTTTCATAACGGAAATACAGAGTTTATGGGAATAACAGAGAGAGTTTAGAAGAATTTAAGCCCTACGCGCCGGCTAGGCTAATGGGATACCCAAGGCTCTGGCTTAGAGTCGGGGGTAACCAGAGGTAGAGGTAGAGTCTACCAACAGGTGTCCAACGTATGACAAAACATCAAGTCCTAATGAACAGGGGCAAACTCAACCTTAAGTTTGATAAAGTACTGGAAAATCACATAATTGAAAAAATTAAGGGGACAATCAAAATCAAACAGGGGTACAGTTGTACAGACAAATGCGACAAAGTAATTCCCATTGAGCATTGGTTGATGTTGACGTATGCTGCTTTCAGTTCGTAGTGATGGATGGAAATGGTTGGTCCTTCACCAACTACCATCCTAGACTCATTCCATTTGCCAATCTGTCTAGCCACACATACAAGAATGCTCACCATGGGAGCAAAGGACTGCATTCAACGTTACCCAAAACAATATCCATCGAGACAACTTTTCACTCTTTCAGCTAGAACTAACACTCTTTACATGAGCTCAGTTGGTGTGACGAACTGAAGGAACGAACTCTGGAATTAATCATTTGATACATCAGCACTGCAATACACCAGGAAAGAACATGCAAATTCCCCATGCGATATCAGCACGGCTGTGCAACCCTTCCAAACGTGAACTCCAGGCACCCACAACCTTCTACAGAACGAAAGCCTAGATAAGATGGAAAAAGTCTACGTAACCCTCTCACATGTTTAGGTAGTCTACATAACCCCTAAATTATAAAACCAAATATTATGGATACTAAATTTTGTCAATCCGAACAAATAACCTCATAGAGTGGTATTGGGAGGTGGTTTTGCTGACGTGGCAATCCATGCTGGCTGGTTTTGACTACGGGGCTTTCGGACCCACCTGTCAGCCTGGCTGACACGCACCACAGAGCGACGGCGGCGACAGCGGAGGCAGAGCAATCTGCAGGGAGCGGCGGCATCGGTGGCCGACCCCCGCCTGCTCTTCCTCCCCAAAGCTGGTCCGTGGCGAGGCGCGCCATGGCCTCGTCGTTGGGTGCGAGCACGGTGAGGTCGTAGCCGCCGTAGAGGAGCAGCGTCTGGATGAAGTCCTTGATTTGGCTGTGCCCGTCGAAGTGGTGCTTCCCGGAGCCGGGCCCAGGCCCAGGCCCGGGCGCGGGGCGATGGAGGGTTTGGGCGCCATGGCGACCCAGATCGGGAGCACGGGGCGCATGGTGCCGGCGCCGGCCCCTGGCGCGGCGAGCTCGACCTCCTCGCGCGGAGAGCGTGGGGTGGGAGGCCGCGGACTAGGAGTCAGAGGGAAGACGCGAGGGGAGGACGGGGTAGAGCAGCCGTCGGCGGCCTAGCGGCAGCGGAGGGGAGCACAAGCGCCTTGTCGCGCTCGCCGTCGCCGCGCGCGTCGCCATGGTCACCACCCGGTCCGCGGGGCCAGCGGTGGCGGGAGGAGATGGAGCGGGAGCTGATGGAACGGGCGCCGGCGCCGCTGGCGGCAGCAGACGATGCATGGAGGACTTCTTCGACTGCCTCCTCTGCCTGCTCGGCGCGTTGGGCATGACATGGGCTGCGACGCGGCCCCAGTGGCAGCCGCGCCAGCCGCTTCCTACCGCGTGCTCCTCCTCTACAACCGCCGCAGCTTCACGGCGCTCCGGTGCTACTCCTCGGACGCGGGAAGCTGGGGCCCGGAAGCGGAGGTGACAGACGCCAGGATCGGCAGGGCCCAGCTCGCCGTGGGACTGCACACCGCCGTCGTGCACCGCGGGTCGTGTTTTGGCCTCGCCTTGCGGTGGGATTTGCATGGATGCATGCATCGTGGAGCTTGCAAGCTGTGGACCATGTAGATGCATTAGTTTACGCGTTGCGTGGTATCCTGTTGTCCTGTTCTTGTGGCTAGTTGTGCGAAGGTTCGGAGGTCGGAGGTGTGGCGCATTAGCACAGAGCCGAAACGAGGCGGGGAGAAGGAAGGACGGGAGCAGAGAAGGCGCGGCAATTCGCGAGCTCGCCTCGGCACCAATGACGACCGGTTACCAGAAAAACCGTCGGGACGTCCTCGCGTCCACGAGGCAATTCAGGAGATCGAGAGGTTCGCCGTCTTCGTGTTGGCTGCTATTCTGCCGACTCCACCGTCTACGACTCCCGTGGAAGGCGTGGCCATGAAGCACGGTGGTGGCCGCGGCGGGATGGAGGAAATCGGCGCGAGTGCGGCGCGTACGCTAGCGCATAGTGTCGTCGTGCGGCACGAGCGCGGCAGTGTCGTCGCGCGGCGTCGTTAACGCGAGAGCGAGCCGGCAATGGCGTCGGGAGTGACCTGATCTAGGCTGACAGGTGGGCCTGAACGCCACAACATCAAAAACAGCCAGCGTGGATTGCCATATCAGCTAAACCACCTCCTAATACCACCCATGGGGAGGTTATTTGCCCGGTTTCACAAAATTTAATGTGTATAATACCTGATTTTATAGTTTAGGGGGTTATGTAGAACACCATGAATAGATAGGATGTTCTCTGCTCTGAAACCTCGCATACGTGATACAAAGAAAACAATCACAATCAAAACTAATCCTCGTCCATTCCACCACCAGGCTGGGCATCTCTTCTTGGACCTCCTGCCGGCTTGGCCATGATGATCTGAACAGTTCATATTTATTCAAATATTACCATGTGCTCCTATGAAACGCAAGCATCAAAAAGAATTTAGAACGTAAGCTTGGAGTCATACCTGGTCAACCCGTAGCACAGTGCATGCAGCATCGGCAGAGTATTTGAGGGCAAAAAACCTGTACAGCAAAACAAGCAAAATGAGAAATCTGCTAAGGGATCATCATAAGCAGCTTAAACTGCCACACAAGATGTGCAAACCCATGCTCCAATTTGAGGACAAGCGTATGTAGACTAACAATGGTGCAAGCATTTTCCACATCCAATGAGCACATGTTCAATTACCACAAAAGATCGAAAACATTCTTAAACCAGCTTACACATGATGCCTACATCTGATTGACTTACTTTGTGACATAGAGGTCCCATATTTTTAAGGTCGAGATGTCCTTGCAGGCACCTTCCTCCAGGTCAATGCCAACTTTCACATTGCCACTAGCATGCTCAGCATAAAGAGAGGATATTATCTCCATTGCGCTAAGTCCAGCATTTTCTGCCAGGGTTCTTGGAACCATTTCAAAGCTTTCAGCAAATTTTGCAATGGCATACTGGTCCAACCTGTACAATTATTAACAGCAACCAACAAATGATTGAGGGAACATAAATTAACTTTTTTTTTTACAAAGGGTTAACCCTGCTCATATTGAAAGCAGATGTACTCTTACCCTGTACATGAGAAGTTATTAACTATCATGGTAAAAACAAACTTACCCTGTTTCCTTCAATGAGAACTCCTTCAATCTCTTTGCCAGCTCTATTTCTGTTGCAGCAGCACCAGGAATTATCCTACTGTCCCTGCACATTGACTAGCAGAAACAAAAAAGTGAGAACTCGGATAGATTAGCTAAACAGACATGGATGTTACAATACAATAAAAGAGTTAGGTCACAACTATTTTAGATACCACACAATACAGATATACCTTGTACGTATTGACGCCATCATCAACAGCTCTTTCAAGATCATCTAGTATACTGTCAGTACTGCCTCTCAAGACAACAGTAGCCACTGAATTTCCACCTTCTTCGTTCTTGACGACAGTAACCTTATAAATAAAAAACAAAATAAAATGAATGTTGGCGAGGAAGCATAAAGATAGATCTTCTGTAAAAGCACAAAGGGGGTAGAACATACTCGAGTACCACCAATTTCTTCAACGGAAACAGAGTCTGCATATCCTAGTTCGTCCGCATTGGGTTGGCTAAGTTTCAACTATATTTCAAAAGAAAACAAAAATCCAAAATCAGAATAAGTATGCTACTACAACACAGGAACAAATACATCTAAAAAATCAGAACGTACAATTGCAATAGCCCCAGTAGTACGGCAGAATCTTCTCAGTTCAAACTTCGAGCTGATTTTCAGAACCATCAGTCTGCAAACAGAACATCAGTAAGTAACTGCTATCAAAAAGGTCAACAGCCACACACCCATACAGTCCTCAATTTTGGAGAAAATATAACATGATAATGCTCCAGTCTAAAAGGAATTTTCAACAAAGATCAATACTGCACAGAGAATTCAGGTAATATATTCAGTTCAGAACACATGAAAAGCAAAAAACTCACTTGTAACGTTCACAGAAATGTAGTGCCATGTCACCAACTGCAGTTCCACTGACAATAACCTTGGCACCTGAGTCAGCAACAGCTTTGATAAGCTCCTCCACCTTAGCTTCCTCGGTTTTAGCATAATTTTCTAGCTGCAAAAGCATATGTATTATAGATTCCAACATATAATTTTGTAGATTACAGCTTGCAATGCGCTACAGAAGCAAAGAAAAATCATGTGCTCCATTTTTAAGTTCAGCGTATCCATAAGAAATCAATCCACAGATTATGAAAAAGGAATGTACTGTTGGATGCACGTCTACATAACATAAAACACACAAAGCCAACTAAACAGCTTTGCAACACTAAACCTTCATGAGCATAGTAAAAGTAGGGATGACTTTAACAGAAGTAAAAAAAAAATCTCAGAGTAAGAACATACCTGCTCAGCGGAATGAATCAACACGGTTCCTTTGTTTCAGTTGCTGAGGTATCGACACCACCAGCAAATACTGCAATCTGAATATTGATTGGTTTTAGAATTCAGAAAGAAACACTGCCAGAAAAAAAAAAAGGGCAGACCCAGTGCGGAGGCTCCCACATGAGTGGGGTGCAGGGAAGGGATAAACCGAGACAAGCCTTTCCCCATAAAATCTGGCGGAGAGGTTGCTTGAACCCACGACCTGGTGACTCAGTGAGACAGCTCACCACCTTTGCACCAGGCCTGCCCTTCTAAAGAAACACTGCCAGAAAACATACAGAAAAAGATGGGTACTGTGCTGTAATTGGTTAGGATTCCTGTGCATATTGAATTTCTAGCACCATGTTATAACATATAACCGCCCATTTAATTAAAATCATAGTTCCTACCCATTCATTGCCCTTAGCAGCAGTGTGAACTAGAAAGACAGAAATTAATAAAAATACTGTTCTATGAAGTGTCATTTTTAAGAAACGGAAAATATTACAATAGCACTGAGCATTACACAAGCAAATGAAATGTGCTGTGCCGTAACCGCTTTAAGTAGGAATTGGTTTGCCAGGGCTTTATGAGTGATGTAATGCTACATAAGCATACATGATTCACTTGACAGTAACAAAATATACAAACAATGAACACATGAGTAACTGATTATCCTTGAGCTTGCAACAGCAAATACTCGTAACCTTGTGAAAATAATATTTAGAGCTCCATCCATTGCCCATTTCATTAAAAATTTCAAAATCAATAAAAAAGAAGGGTATAGAACTTTCACAGGTATAACCAGTGTGCAATGTGAATGAAGAGTAGCCTTTTGAGCTTACCTTTGCCTTCTCCACCCTTTTGATGCTACCAACAGCATCATTTTTCAGAACCATCCCACGGACCACAGAAGAATTGTGCAAACCACCTCCAAGCAGCTTAGCCACTCTAACATTGTCGACATTAAAGTTTGCAGGATTTTTGGGGCAAACTTGAATGCAGGCCTAAAAAACGATACAACAAACCCACTATCAGTTGATATCAGTATGACGCCCGAGGGGAAAAAAGGCAAAGCTCCCTATAAGCTTGTATGGATTAGCTTACATCAGCCACAAGAGAGCACAGTACATCCTCCTGGCCAAACTGTTTGCTCGCGACAGCGGATCTCATCCTCAACACAACCTCCTCCTTGTTTCTTACGTCCATGTTCTCTGAGCCTTTCTCAACAAGATCCTCCAAGATCTCAATCGTCTGCATACCAAAGACAAAAGCACAAAGAGCCTGCCATTAGATTGCATGTTTCAATGCTACAAAAGCCTATGGGGGTCAGGGGGGCAAGTCACCTTGCTGATGGCTTTGGTGTAGCCAATAATGATCTCACTCGGATGCAAGCCCATCCTGATGAGCTCCTCAGCCTTCCCAAGCAGTTCGCCGGCAAATGATATGGTGAGATTGGCTCCATCCCCAATCTCCTCCTGCTGAGCCCTGCCAGCCAGTACCAGGATCTTAGCAGCCGGGTGCTGAACCTCGAGCTCATTCACGATGGTGGCAGCATCGTTTGTGACAAACAGCTTGTCCAAGTGATTGATAACCATCTTGTTCATTCCTACATAAAGAAAACAAATAGAACTACAACATCAAGCAATCGATCACTGGAAGGTTTCAGCAACTAAGTAAAATTTAGTCAGATGCGATTTACATAATGCAGGAGACTAGTAGTAGTGCAGAATACTAGTAGTACTAGACAAACTAATTGCCCGTGATCCAAACATTGTACAAGGCTAAATGTGATTTCAAACGGCACGCCAGTGTACAAAGCGCCGCACACTACCCAAACATTCATCAGCCTTGTCACCGTATCCCAATAAGCTCCAACAACTAGGCGACTCTTGGCTCCAGATCCCCCTCACTCCCTGCCCACTCCCCCCAACAGCTCGATCCGGCGGCCTCACGCTACGCCACCGAAGACCGAGCACGCTCATCTCGCTCCAGATCCCTCTTCACTCCAGTAGCCACCACCCGAGCCCATAACCCGCACGCGGAGCACGACTCACCATTGGGGCCGAGGGAGGTGCGCGTGATGGCAGAGAGCTCGCAGCAGGCATCGATGTTCTTGAGCCCAGCCTCCTCGAGCCCGGAGAGGTGGCGGTGGCCCTCCTTGAGCATCGACTGGATCCCGTAGCCCGCCATTGAGCCGAGCCCCACCATCTTCGTCTCTGGCTGGGTGTGGGGGCGGTGGTCTGGCGGCGGGAGACGGCGCCGGCGGCGAGGCGTATCGGGGGGAAGTTTTAAACCCTAGAGGGCGCTGCTTTGGGAGTGCGACGAGTGACGGGGATAGGCGAAAGACGAGACGAGGCGGCGCGGTCAGATCGTCTAACTTTGGCTTCCTGAACTTTCCACTGCAGTCGCGTGGAATCTGACCACTCGCTCGGATCGGACGGTGAGCAGATGATATGCGCTGCCCTCCTCTACACGCTGGGCTTTGGCAAGCACGGCCTGTTTCAGTAGAAAAGAACCGCGGCGTTTCTTTTTAGCGCGATTTCTTGCTGTTTTGGCGCGACTCCTCTCGATTTTGGAGAACTCGGTGAAGGACGGGCGTGCCGATCCGGCGGCCTGCAACGGCGGCGGCGGAGGCGACGACCGTACAGTCGCGCAGGGGAACGAGGGAAGTCTCCTGGCTGGGCTAAGATGGGCCACTGAAGGCCTGTTAAATTGGTTAGGTCCAATAGTTTTAGAGTCTCACGGTTGGCTCTAAAGTGGATTCCCCTAAAAAAAAGTTGGATCTAAAATGGATGGTTACAATGATCAACTGCAGAGGAAAGTTCAGGAAGCCAAAGTTAGACAATCTGATTTCCAAATTTGGGCGACTTGTCGAGCCGATTAACTACCTTTTCTGCACAACAAAAACTCAGTCGATTTTAGGATGTACAGCTGAATTTGAGAAATTTGTGCTACGTTTCGAAACATTATATTGCTTGACTTCTTCATATTTTCTATTCTGATATGTTTTATTTTCTTGGTTCATTATTTTGGCATATGAAATGACCATAGTGACCTTGCCTCTATCTCTCTTTTTCTCCAAATTTCTTACCTCGCGGCATCCAGCAGGAGAGCGCGGTGGAGGCTATCTATCACTTCGACAATAAAATCGCCTCCTATCACCTACAGGATGCGAAGAGGGCCAAGAAGCCAATCGACCCAATAATCTTGTCTGTCACACTAGCCACTAGTAGAAACGCCCTACCTGTTTAGAAAAAAACATAGTAAGCAATAATTTATATTTACTAGCAAATATGTCCGTGTGTTGCAACCGGAGAAAAAAGCATATTAAACATTTATATAAAATGATAATGGAAATGGTATATTTTTGTTTATGTTTTACCTTTTCTATAATTAAAAGCTATAATTTATTTTATAATGACCATGACATCCATAATATATATAAGTCAATGCCGATAATAATATAATAATGTCCTATTAAGTTTGTATGTATTGAATTAAAATACAATCTTAGTAGATTTTTTCTCATCGCAAAGCACATAAATGTTTAAGTGTAAGTATATTATAACTTTTTTTAATACTATCATGTGTTCGTAGAGACAAGCCTGGCGCGTGGCTTGTGGCTAGTGAAGATGGGCCAGCCTCCAAGCGCGTTCCACCGCAAGTAGGACTTGTCTGCCACAACCACTGTAATTAAGCCTGTAAGGCTTTCTGCCAAGGCCTAGCCTCAAGGCCAAGGCCCGCTGCAGGAGGCATGGCGTGGTGGCGGCACCTCCCTCCTTATGGTCAAGGGGTGGCAAGACGTGTTGATCTTGCCCACTCGCCGGTTTCGATCTCTCTTCGTGGGACGCTCCGTCGTGACTTCGGCTGAGGTCCATAGGCGAGGCGTGTTTGGCAAGTGCAGGCGCCAAATTTATGGCCATGATGGGTGGATCCATAGCATGGCAGAGCACATAAATTTTTGGCCACCCATTGAGTCCGTTCTACGTTGCCGCTACCAATGTCTTTGTTGTGCAGAAGCTGATGGCAAGAGCATGGCTCCGTATGTCTACTCAATCTGGAACTTGCTCTTCTCCAATCTTGTTTCTTTTTTGTTTTTGTTTTAAGACATCTTTTATGTAGAGATTTATTTTGTATAACTGTCAGGCTAAGTTTTAACTCATCACATGTTCCTTTTATTTGGCAGATTTCTCACTTTCCTTTTCTTTGCTTCCTTTTTCATGGTTAGCTGCAACGTACTACAAATTGACTCCATATTGAACGTACTTGCGACAAAAAAGCACCTCCGTGAGCTCCGTATGGGACCAAGGAGTGTTTGGTTCTTTAGTCGTTCCTAAAATTAATATCACATCGAATATTTAGATACTAATATGGAGCATTAAATATAGATTAATTACAAAACCAACTACATAGATGGAGGCTAATTTGTGAGATGATTTTTTAAGCCGAATTAATCTGTCATTAGCACATGTTACTGTAGCACAGTGTTGTCAAATCATTGACTAATTAGGCTTAAAAGATTCGTCTCGCAAATTAGTCGCAGGTTGTGCAATTAGTTTCATAATTAGTCTATATTTAATACTTCATGTATGTGTCCAAACATTCGATGTGTCAGATGTGTCAGAAATTTTAGGAGCACCTAAAGAACCAAACGGGGCCTTAAACTCATGGCAAATTGGCAATCGGAAATCTTGTGGGCCCATACATGTCCATGCTAGATACAACTAATAAATAACTAAATTCATAAAAAGAAAAGAGATTCTTTTCTAATTGCAACACATTTGAAAATATAATTAGTTAAAACCTAAATTTCAAAATAAAAATAATATAAATATTTTGATAGAAAAAGATAAATAATCAAATCCATTTAAAATAATCAGTACACATAATGTAATAGCAAACATACCACAAAGAATGCAATTTTACTAAATAAAGCACATCATTATTTGTCCATTTAGAGTTATGATAGGAGAAAAGAAAATTATGCACCAAAAATAAAACAATAATGATATCCTCAGGGCGTCCGTCCTTTCCGGACAGGACCAACCTGCCTGCCCCCGCGTCTCACGTCTAGGGCCGTAGACCCTCGCCCATGCCTCACGCCGCGCGCCCCCGCATCTCGTGCCTCGCTTATATGGGCGGAAGCAGATTCTCTCGTGGAGAGAGTGATACGAGAGGCGGTGGATATGGAGCGCTCCTTGGTTGACCAGGACGGTTACTGGCTCCATGTCACCATGTTTGGCCTCAAGCACATTCATAAGAGAGAGCTGCAAACAACTCATCCTGTCCTAAAATAGAAGTTGTTATGGGATACGTACGGATCAAACTTATCCAACTTTGAGTAAGTTTGTAAAAAATACGTACAACATTTATATTTTCAAATAAATTTATTACGAAAGTATATTCAATGATCTACCTAATGATACTAATAATGTATTATAAATATTAATGTTTTTTATATATTTGGTCAAAATTAAAAGTGTTTGACTTCTCGAGAAGTGAGAATGACATCTATTTTGAGACGGATGGAGTACGCATCACCAGTCCAGACGCTCCCATGTACTATCTAGGCATGAATATTCTTTTCCTCGTGAAGCGTTCTGGATGTAGAAGCAGATTTGGTTTGTTGCAGCATGCATGCTCCATTTCGTCATTGTTTGGGTTACTTATTAGTACCCACAAAGAATTGGTGCTTGTCGTGGGTTATCAGTGTATCCTAGATTAAGTTAAAGTTATTGGTCCTAAAAGAGAGGTTAGTTAAAAAATATACGGAGTATTTATGTGGATTTTTTATGTAGCATGATATGTTCCTGTCGTACATACATGTTATGTAAGAAGATGCCTATGTTACTGGCTTACTACTAGTGGCGGAGATAGAACGTACTGCTGTGGGCAAGAATGGCATCATGAGCTGCCAGATAGCTAGTAAGCATGTATGCAGCATTCATCTAATCAGTTAAGGTCTAACGATAAACAGTAATACACAAAACAACCATGCTTGCAGCCATACAAGTGTGGAAATATCAAATATGCTTGCACTTACACATGACGATCCTTGGATTTTGATACACGGCAAGGGGGCCAGGGCCCTCTTTGGCCCTAACGTAGCTCTACCCGTTGCTTACTGCTGCTCAGTGCTTACTCTTATGCGCAGAATTATGTAGCCATTGAAGTTCAAATGTACTAGGTAGCGTGCTCGTGCGTTGCTACAGGACAACTAAATTTTTTATACTAAAAAACCACGGATCGCACGATAAGTTAACAATACTGTTAAATTAAATACAGACGTCGAAGTGACATTTAATTCAAAAAGCAAAGTTCGTGAAATTAACACAGTCACGGAGAGCGCGACATCGCAGACTCATAAACTCTACTGTATAGACTTTTTCGTGATACAGCTAAGATAATATTTTATATCGGCAGAAAGAATTTTACGATATCCATTTTTTCATGCGCCAATAAATCCATGAATAAGTTCCACTACATCTCCATATAATCATGTACGCACAGGTTCGAGTATATATGTAAATAGGTTCATGCCCGTGCGTTGCTACGGAACAACTAAACTTTTGTACTAAAAACACATGGATCGCACGATAAAATAACAATACTGTAAAAGTATACGACCGACGTTAAAATGATATTTAATCCAAAAACTAAGTTCATGAAATTTACACAGTCACAGAGAGCATGGCGTCGTAGGCTCACAAACTCTACTGTGTAGATCTTTTCGTGATGCGGCTAAGATCATTTTTTATACCGGCAGAAAGAGATTTCTAATATCCATTTCTTTCGTAAGCCAACAAATCCACGAATAAGTTTCACCACATCTCCATACCATCCTGTATACGGCGCTGGCAAGCGAATTAGCCACAACTTATATAATTAGTTTTATAATTAGCTCATGTTTAGTCCTCCTAATTGTTATCTAAAAATTGAATGTGACAGAAACTAAAGTTTAGTCTTGGGATCCAAACACCCCCTAACCATCGACTTCTGCTGGCTGCTTACTTGCACCACCATGCCTATGTGTCTGCACGTATATACTCTAATGCCAGAATGTCTAAGATGATCTTTATTGTCCACCATTTGAAAATATCATAACTTTAAGGTTGTCATTTGTGTATGCTGTAGGATTGGGATGTTTTGCACTGATCAATGAGGGTGTCCATGAGAGTCGAAATTTTTGAGCCATTATGATGTCTAAG